TCTAGTGAATAATTTATTTTAATGAAAAATCTTGACTGGCTATTTGGGAAAGTTCATTGTCGCAACATTTTATTTGTTTGTTTTTTATATACATATATGTATATACTTGACATGTTTTTGTTATGTCTATTTAAATATAATTTGTATAATTCAGGCAAATCATCTTAAAATGATACTGTTCAAATGTATGTTACAGGAGTACATTATCTAGATCAGGGTTGTTTGACAATCATGCTGTTCGACTATTGATTAGAAATTCACTGTTCGTTTAAAAGAAACATATTTACATATTTAAAATTGATTAAGCACCGTTTGAACTTCATTTATTTACATTTCAGCTATGCACCCCAATTTACTGAGAGCTCTAGAATCAATTATAAATAATGATAAGAAGGTATTATACCAGTATATAAAATGCTGCTAGACATATTGGTACAAATATAGCGGTTTCTCTAGTTCTAGTTCCAGTTCCCAGGCTGAGTCTACCTTCACAAGGGCACCTTAGCTGGCACATCGCGCAATATAGTTCAAGAGTAAACATATCGTCTGTTGCATTTGTAATCGCGTGACAGTAACCGTCTGTCCCACCACTGCATATATAATTTGTTAAAGTGCCTAAAATATAAACAATAAAATAAAAATTTTCTAATATGGGAAAGAAATGCGCAGTTACCAGATATTTTTTTCTTAGGTCCAAGACAAACATCCATTTTTTCGTCAGCTGGATCATCTGCTGCTTTGTCAACTATTTTAGACTCATCGGCTTTCTCTGCGAACGCCACAAAATCTGCGGGAACTTTGCAGTTTTTCAAAGCTTTGCAATTTAAACATACTGCTCTATCATATATATCTGTAAAATTATACATATATATATATATCTATATTATAAGGATTTTTTTTTTTGTGTTTAGTTCATTGTGGCAACATTTTATTTGTTGGTTTTTCATATACATATATATACTTGACATTTCGAGCATCGAAATTATATAAAATGCATATAAGTATACATACAAATTTGGAGAGTCTAGCTCTAAAGGTGTAGGAGATATAATTAAATAACTAACTTTCGATAAGGTTTTTGATCGATAATAAAATATCGGAAGTAGTTATCGATATATAGAGAAAAACTTGATATGTGCGTGATATACACGGACCTAGGAAAACAAATTCTTGTCTCGAGCTCTTATATCTTCTGAGATCGACGCGTTCATACATACATACGGACGGACGGACGGACGGACAGACGGACAGACGGACAGGGCCAAATCGGCTTAGCTCGTCGCTCTGATCAAGAATGATATTGTTCAAATGTCTGTTACAGGTAGAAGGTATGTATTACCCAGATCAGGGTTGTTTGACAAACATGTTCGATTATTGCTTAGAATTTCACTGTTCACGCAATGGAAATATATTATATACATATTTGAGATTCATTAAGCTCCGTTTGAACTACATTTATTAATATTTCTAGCTTTCAGCTATGCACCCCACTTACTGAGAGTACTATACTAATTATTAGATAATTATAAGAATCTGTTACCATAATGTAAAATGCTGGTAGACATATTGCTACAAGTAAAGCGGATTCTCTTAGAACAGTTCCCTTGTTGAAATTACCATTGCAAGGGCACATTATCCAGCACGCACGGCAACTATTATATTCATATACTGAAGTGCTTTTCGAAATAATCGGGCGACAGAGACCGTCTGTCCCACCACTGCATATAGCTCCTTTTATAATACCTAAAATATAAATGCATACAATTAAATTAAACATTTTCTATTATGGGAAAGAAATGTGCAGTTACCAGATATTTTTTTTTTGGGGCTAAGACATTCATCCAATTTTTCGTCAGCAGGATCACTTGCTGTTTTATCAATTACACGATGATGATCTCCAATATCAGCGAACGATAAAAAACCGCGAGGAACTGAACATTTTCGAAAACTTTCGCATCTTAGACATACTGCATCACCAGCCATCACATCTGTAATTGAAGTTGTAGTCATTCGAGAACAAAAATATATTTGTTTTATTTGCTTTATTTTTATACCCTGAACCCATATTCAATGGGAAACCAGGGTATAATGGTTTTGTTAAATGTATGTAACAGGCAGAAGGAGGCGTGGCAGACCCCATAAAGTATATATACTCTTGATCAGGGCGATGAGCTGAGTCGATTTAGCTCTGTTCGTCTGTCCGTATGTTTGAACGCGTCGATCTCAGAAGATATAAGAGCTAGAGACTTGAAAAGACTTTTTTTTCTAAGCTGCCCGTTATTTTGTTATCGATTAAAAACATTATCGAAAACCAGTAATAAATTTATATCTTCTACATCTTTAAAGCTAGAGTCTCCAAATTTTAAATTTACCTATATGCATTTTATACAATTTCGGTTTTTGTCAAAATTTACCCACACATTTGTAAAAGGCGTATTTAAAATACTAGGAACTTGTGCTTTCGCAAATCCATGCATATCCATGTTATAATCATAATCTGAAAGTTTCATGAAAAAAGTACATCCACAAGAAAAGTTATTGAACAATTAAGTTCCCATAGTAAGTCACCACTGCAGCCCATGCGTGTATGTGCGTGTGTGTGTGTGTGTGAGTGTGTGTGTGTGTGTGTGTGTGTGTGTGTGTGTGTGTGTATGATGTGTGTGTGTCTTGTGTAAGCAGAAAGACGCGGAAACTGATTGAAACAGCTATTGCTCGAAGGGTTCAGGGGATCTCGTAGTCGGGTAGTCTCGACCAGAGCTTTCTTACTTGTTTACTTACTAGGAACTAAATAAAGAAACGTCAGGATCGAATATATGACAACTAAAATTGAAATTTTGAGTCCAGCCATCATAAAATTTGTTAACAATGTCCAATGAGAAAACGACTGAGAATGAGTCAAAAATTTGGAATTCAATTTCTCTTCTAAATATTTTTGAACAGTTTGCTTAGATTTTTAAGTATTTCAAGTGGTTATCTTCTATACGTTCAGATTGTCGTAATCGTGCGATTTTATACATTAAACCAATAAAATATAGAAATAAAAATACAGTTATTAAAATCAATATGTAAATATTATTTCATTTATGCTTACAAATAAAAAAATGTCTTATGGTTATTGTATATATATGAATGCTTATAACATATAATTATTTATTTGCTTATGATA